TAGTTTGTTCACTAATTATGTTTTTTTTTTTTAACAAACATTTGCATATGCTCTAATCTCTATATCATTTTTAACTGATAAGCATTTCTCATTCAAATTTTAATAATATTTTAAATACATACAAAGATTTAAAGAGAAATGGAGATTTAAAAATTGTACAAAAGAGAATAATAAAATTTTATCTTTATAGCAACATAAGTGGAGATAAAATCTATAATAAAATTATATATATACACGCACATGAAAACAAAACAATAAATAAATTTTAATTTATTTTTGTTTTATTGTAAAAAAGAAAGGATGTCAATGTATTTCGTTTTCCAACTTGATGAATCATAGTGAAATAGACCCAAACCTACCAAAAAATTTCTCGCACATCACATGATTTCCTCACCTGCAGAAGAAAAAATTAATTCACCCTTAGCCAATAATTATTAGTGTACATGTACCCTCACAAAATAAAATAAATTAATTAATTAACACAAAGAAAAACATCCTCTGCGTTCGAATATTTCATTTATTCAAAAAAAAGGAAAAATACCCTTAGAATGAGTGATCTTGTAACTAATACCTAACAATAATTTGTAATGTCAAATTAAAAAAAAAGATTAAATGTTCAAAAATAAAAAAAAATGTAGCTTCGAGACTTCTCAACATGAATAAAAAAAATTAATATAAATAGCTTAATAAATTTTATTTTAATTTTAGAAATTAAATTACGAAAAAAAAATAATAATTACGTAGATGTGTCTTAATAAAGATGTCAGCGATTGGATTGAACGATGTGTTGTTTCTACAAGCATAGGAGAGACTCATATCTCCCAACTACAAGTCAAAAGAGATGAAACAGAATAATCACTGGTTGAAGTATGAAGAAATCCTCTTGATTTCAATCAGAATCAAACTTAAACTACACCCAAAGCATAAAATTTAACAGCATGGACCAAAATTAGATTAAAACTACACTCAAAATAGAGTGTAAAAAGTCATCAGGATCAGGGTATCAACTTGTTTTTCATATGCTACATTTTAGAATGCAATTAATAAGTCAATTTATTTGCCAATTGTTTGCATATATATTGTTAGCTGTACTCAACTAGACAAGTTTGTGGGGTTAATCTATTAATACAAGTTAATTTTTTAAGTCTAGGCAAGTTTCAACTAAATTCATTGCTTTGGACTTGATGCAATTGCAACTTGCTTGGACTTGTAGCTACCTTCAATTCAATTCAATTCATTGATATATATACCAATTAAAAGAGTTGTAATGTTTTAATTACAGTATCAAGTGTTCCATATTTTAATAAGGTTAAATAAAAATTACATGCCCCAAACGCTCTACGTATATAAATGTGTTTAAGTTTATGCATAGGAATAGGTACAATTGCCACGGCTGATGAAGGCTCCATGTTCTTTGGAATACCTTACTTAAAAGAAAAGCTAACCCAAAAAACTCTTTAATTATGCTTTGCCATTAATTGATATTTTGCTGTGTAAACCACCTCCTAACCTATAATCTACACCTCTGTCTCCTACCAACATGCCATTAAAGTGGAAATCTTAGACCCTAACCTATTAATCTTTTCTTTTAGGTTAAATAATTCGTAATATTTAACCTTTTAGTCTCAATTAATTAAAATAATGATAACGTTGGTGAACAGTTGTTGTAAAAGTTTGAACTTATAAGAAATGATTCCACTATTGTGTTTAAATTCTAAGATATTCACTTATGTGCAAATCAGGTGAATGATTAATAGAGTTACATGTCATTAAAGCGGATACCTAAGATTCTAACCTAGGGATTTTATATTTTAGATTAAATACTCCATAATTTTCAAACCTAGCCCCAATTTAAAATGATAAAATTAAGTAAACAATGGTCTTAAAAGCTTAAATTTATAAGATATTATTCAATTATTATGTTTAAACTCTAACACGTCTACTCACGTGTGCAACTCGGATCAATGATTAATAAGTTTGCATGTGGATTTAACTGTACAAAAGAAGGTACAAGCTAAAAAAGGATTAAAGAAATATGCATGGCACAATCCAATGGACAACCGACGCTTGAAAAAAAACTCTAATACCATGATAAATTAGGTGGTTAATTATCTTAAAATCTTAATTATTATATTTAAATTTTAACACAAAGTCAAGGGACAATGTTTCAAGTTATCATTTACTCTCCAAATCGTGTATGACTATATATCCTTTATTATTTTGTCTTGAATTAGATACCTCTATTATTAAAGCTTATATGATTCAAATCTTGAAAGAAAGGATATAAGATTCTAATATCAAACCCAATAGCGACGTATTATAAAATTAATTGCTTATGTATGTACCAAAAAAAAAATAAAGAAATGTTCATGTGTTAAATTATTTTGTTTTATGTCAACTTCTAACATGATCTCTGCTATCATATGCATAAATAAGAACATATGCATAAATAAGAACGAGAATATTTAAATTTAACTCTTTAAGTATGAAAATTCATATATTTATCATCAAATTAAATACTTAAATATGATCTCTATAATCTTTCATCAGAATCCAATGTCGATGATATAACATATATGTCATGATTTTTTTTTCCGGATATTAATATGTCATGACAAATTTTGAACCTAATGACTCTTGGATATAGGCACTTACCTCTTATTTCAAGATTGGCATTCATGATTTTCAGGAAATTAAATTTCTCCTATTCCATATTTTTTCATGAATTTTTCATGGTAAACTCAAGTTATGAACACATGGTAAATAGGTAATCAACAAAGAGAAATATGAGATTAAGGGAAGTGATAGATTACTTTCAATACTTAAATAAAAAAAGTTTTGGACTAATTAAAAAATTCAATTAAAAAATTTGGTAAAATAACAAAATATTTACCATATGACTTAAAGACAAAATAAATTTGTTTTCAAAAATCAAACTCCACGTGACCTAAGAGTCATAATAAAATCCCTATTAACAATGATTCTCACTTTTAATTTAAAAAAAAAAACCCAACACTCTATATGCAAGATAGATGATAAAATTTGATTAATTCAATCTCACATGTTGGGGACTAGTAATTCCATAAAATAATATGATTCCTTTCAGACAACCAATCAGAAAGAATTTCAATCAATTTTTGTTTAATAAAAAAAGATTATCCTGTCTGCCATTGTTGTCAAAGGGTTTCTTTTTTTATTCACAAAATAAGATCTATGTTTTATATGATTAATGTGGTCATTCTTCCAAACATACATACATACATACATACATGCATGCATATATGCATATATGGAACACTTGCACTAATTTAATCTCATTTAAATTTTAATTTACTAAAAAATATATATTAATTTTGGTCCATGCCTGCACACCAAAAAAATATTATTTCTAAATTATATAAATAATTTCAATTTACAAAGTTAAAATTAAAAAAAACAAAAATTAAATTAATAGCTTGTTTGGTTTGAATTTTTTAAACTTAAAAGCTAATATTAAACTCTTATGAAAAATAATTGTTTTTAAAATTAAGGTAAATCTATTTGATAAATTTATTTTTATAAGCTTTAAGTTGTTTTGTAAAATAATTTGTATAAGTTTTAATTTTGATCAAAATTACCAAATAGTATTTAATAAATAGATTTTTATTAATCTCAAATTTTTTATTAACAATAAAAAAGTTAATTTTATTTTTTGATTTATTTAAAACAAATTTTTTAAAATATAAAAAGTATATTTATATAACATAAAATATACAATTAATAATAAATCGTATAAATATGAAAACGAATAGTATTGAAATTATTTTTAATAGATAAGAAAATTTTTAAAACTAAAGAAAATTCTTCTAAAAAGGATATATGTTTTTCAAAATAGAGAAGAGAAATCTCTTCTCGGAAGCTTATTCTAAAGCTTGTTTTTTTAATTTTATTTTTTAAAAAATTATTTTTTAAAAATATTTATTTAGTTTGATTTTTATTTTTAAGAGATATATAAATTAAAAAAATTATATCAAATAGACACTAAATGTTAAAAAATTTTAAAATTAATTACTACAAGAAATATTTATGGGGGAAGAAATTTTAATTTCAAAAGAAAATTAGAGTAAATTATCTGTTCGAGTAGCTAGGGAGCTAGCTCTTTGTAGTTGAGTTGACTTAGGCCAAGAAGGGATTGTGTTGTCTACCAGTCAAGGACGTGGCTAACCAACCACATGCCCATCAAAACCTACCGATCAGTCTTCCTCCTCCCCCGGCCCAACCTCCGTTACATACGTATATTTTCTTTTTTGTATTTTTTTAATTATAGGACAAATCTCAAATTGGGATTTAAGGCAATTTTTTAATCTACAAACTATTTCTGTACACAAAATTAGCCATACTAAGGAAGAAAAAAAAATTAATATTATCGTACAATGTGCACATTAATAATATAAATTAAATACTCTAGAGAAAAATGATTGTGCGATGATAAAATTGCTTCTGTTTTACATCAAAACTTGATTAAAAAACTTATCCCTTGATTTTTTTTTTCCTCTTTAAATTTAACAATTTTTCATTTTTTTTCTTTGAATTTAACAAGATAAGAATATTCGATGAGAGTCGAATGTTCGGATGCTAGAAAAAATTATATAACTTTTTAGCAAAAGTGAATAATAGGATATTTGGTTTTATTATCCTATTACTCACTATTTTGTTAAAAAGTTGTATAATTTTTTTAAAAAAAATAAAAAAAGAGGAAAAAAATTAATACTGAATGCTACCTAATAAAATGGCTATATACGGGTAGACAACTCATGCTATGAAAATTGCAATTCCATGTTCCCCTGTTGCAAATTTGCGCCATTGCTTTTGCTTACCTGCCCTTAATTGCTAACCTCTATATAAGCACAAGTCCATATTGCTTTTTGGTCATCACCACATTCCTCTTTCTCTCATCTTCTTTTTTTTTATTCTGTTTTCCTTTGTGCGCCGAAACTTAAGCTTAAGTAAAAGCAAACAATATGAACTCGACAAACATGAATGGTTCCTCTCCTAATGTCTTGGAAGAAAGCGGTCGGACCTTAGTCATTGGTTCGGGTGGATTCATGGGCCGGCTCGTCACCGAAGCCAGCCTAGACTCCGGCCGTCCTACGTATATTTTGGTTCGGTCTAGTTTGAACTCTCCTTCCAAAGCCTCCACCATCAAGTTTCTTCAAGACAGAGGAGCCACTGTTATTTATGTATGTACAATTCTCCCTCAACACTTCTTTCCATTTTCTAGTTACATTTTCACACGTACACATATACATTTTTAATGTGTAATTATTTGTGTATATTTATATATATGTAATGTATAATGTGTAATTATTTATGTATACATATATATATATATGTATGTACGGACGTTATACAATCTTCGGAATTGTTGTAACAGGGCTCTATCACAGACAAAGAATTCATGGAGAAGGTTCTGAGAGATCATAAGATAGAAGTTGTAATATCTGCAGTGGGAGGGGGAAGCATCTTAGACCAGTTCAATCTGATAGAGACTATCAAGAATGTTGACACTGTCAAGGTATATGCTCAAAACAACAACTAACATTCATAGGGGAAGAAACTTAGATACTGTATATGGTCAATGTAGCGACCTGTTTGGTTATGGTTGAGCTTCTAGTTAGAATAAAACATTCAATGCATGCCTAGCTAAAAGTTAGGTACTTCTTTTGAAAACTAGTTTACAGAATAAAGATAGATGAAACTTGAAATGTCATTAAAGCTATAACAATAACACTATTTGTTTGTTCTATATGTATATTTATCTCACAAATTATGTCACACTGAGATAAAGAGCTAGAGCTAAACTATTATAAGCAATAAGACATGAAAATAGTACCTAAAGCTATGTTTTTCTATTTACCTCAACAAGCACTGCACATTTGCATTGCATAAAATGGGTTAATAAGCCAAAGGTGAATCTGTTGCAGAGGTTTTTGCCGTCTGAATTCGGGCACGACATAGACAGGGCTGACCCGGTGGAGCCAGGGCTGAGCATGTATGAACAGAAGAGGAAGATTAGGAGGCAGATAGAGAAATGTGGGATTCCTTACACTTACATATGTTGCAATTCCATTGCAGCTTGGCCCTACCATGACAACACTCACCCTGCAGATGTTCTACCGCCCCTTGATAGGTTCAAAATCTATGGTGATGGCACTGTCAAAGGTACCTCATCTTTCCTTTTTGTTTTGTTTTGTTTTCGTTTATCTTGACCTTAGTGTGGTTGGTAGTTGGAAAACGATAGTATAGAAATTTGAGAAGAGAAGGATGGATGGAAGATTTTGGTTTTCCAAGAAAATCAATGTCCCAGGATCTCTCATTAAATAATCACCTCCCACATGATATTTTATCTTATCAGTCAAAGAAAATAGGTTACTAGTATTTGTTTACTTGAGTTGTCAATGTCTTCTATTAGAAGCTAACATTGGGAAATTAATTAGAGTGCAGAACATGGGAAAAATTTTTAATGGTCAAGGTAAATGCTGCCTGCAATTTAATTCTGACATTGGTTGAGTTTGGTGAAACAAGAGAAATTTGAGTTAATTAATGGTTTGTCTCTGTAGTTTGCAAAGATAGATAATACTGGACCTATTAGTTTGGCTGGCAGATGTTCAGCAGTCTTACAGTTTTAAGAACAAATGCTGCCTACCTACTGCCTTGCCATTTTCTAGTAGAAGAAGGAAGAGACAGGGACTGAATCTTTTGAAATGAAAAAACCAAAACACATGTAAAAGATTGGATAAGAAAAAAATATTAGGGAAAAAAAATTAGCAGTTATAGTCAAACTGCTGATCAGGTGTCTGCAATCCTTGAGGAAAATCTTAAAAAAAGCATACATGGTGAAAAAGGTCTTAGCCACCACAGATTTATTTGCCCTTTGTGGGAAGTTGACATGTTCACAAATTGTCAGCAACTTTCTTAATTTAAGTCAAGCACCAGAAATCTAGAAAACTACATTCTATAAATTATCATCATGTCTATATAAATATACCAAAGATAATATTAGACTTGTAGTGTGGAAACCCAACTGCCATTCACCTAGCAAAATCTGATCCAAATACTTAGCCATCGGATTATTTTTTTAGCATAATGAGTAATTGATCTAATATAACAACCAACACTACCTAAGATTCCGACTTAAATCCTGAGCTGCATCTACCCTCAAAATAGCTTTCAAAGTAACCTAAATGGCCATTTCTTCAAAGCCCCAAGTAAAGTTTATTTTCCCATCTTTTTGGTAGTCAACAGTATCCACTTCATTTGCTCAATGCAATTATTTCATTCTGAACATTTCTCCTTCAATAATGACTTCCTCCAAATCTGGATAGCCAGAAGGGATATTTTCTACCAAATTGGAAGCTTCGGATACATAGCTGAAAAAGGGTAATTTTTTTTTCTACCATGCCAGCCAGCATAATACCATAACAAATCCATGATCATATTTTTACTAAATGGATCTTACAGCTCTAATACCATAGCAAATCCATGATCATATGTTTCATAGTATTTCTTACAGCTGTAAACCTACCCTTTCAACTCAGCATTGTAAAATTGAGCAGCCAAGAGAGCTAGTCAAGCTTGTCCTTTTGATACAGGACAAAGGAGAAAGAGTCTTAGTCAAAGTACAATGCACCCTGCTTCCTCTTTTTCTTTAATAAATTAGTAGAACTTGCGCCAGTTCTAAACAGGGTTTTGCATGTTTTCTACTTCCAAGAAATTTGTGAGTCATTAAAGCAATGTGCCCCGTTAGGAAGGAAACGTGGTAAAGTGGACCTCCCTTAGATTCCCAACTGATAGAATGATGTTTTGCCTCTTTCTTGTTGTTGTTGGGCAGCACTGAGAGGCACGTGACTGCTATGATGGGTTAGGTAGGAGATTATCACGTGACCCCATCCTCTCCTAACACTGTCCCAACTCTTTCCATCTTTTCACCCCCAACAAACACACAAAAAGGGTTGTTAATTAGCTACCAGGAACATTACATTAAAACATCAAGTTAATAAAAATTCGGGAATTGAATTTTTAAACCTGTGGCACTGTCAATTTAGATCTTTCATTTTCAAATTGAGTTATTAATAAATTATTACAAGATAAATGACATAATATAGGACAACCCAATTTACTTGGGTAACCACTAAATTTAAAGGCTATGTTGTTAGGTAACCTATTCTAGGAGTAGTTAATGTCGACAACTGGACATTCGGGGTACTAAGAAGTCCAAGATTTGATCATTCATAGGCTGTCCTAAGCTAATCTAAAAGGAGGAAGTCCCAACTAATTAACTGTTTAAGTAAACAAGTTTATTCTGAAGACAGGACCACCGAATTCATGTCAGAGATTTGCTTATTAATTCAAAGATTTGGACTTTTGGATGTTGCCCTTGAGTTTCTAACGTTGGCTCAGAGCAAGTCTTTGATCAATCTTAAATTTGTCTACTTGTCAAAGAAACTGCTCTACCCTTCTAACAATGAGTAGACCAGCCACAGAAAGCAACTCCCAGTTCCAACCTACTCTTCAACAGTTTGCCACTTTGAAAAAAAAAAAAGAAAATCTGGGATTTGCATGTACCTAAGTTACCATCTCTGCATTAAATGTAAATTGTAGTAGTAGTAGTAAAATAAAATCTATAACCAAAAGCTTTTAACGATAAGACAACCATCATTATGAGAATTTTGAATATCAATCACCTTATTGTATATTGTTTAGGATGTTGATTCTATGATTTTGTGGTGAATGCCCAGCATACTTTGTGGCGGGTACCGATATTGGGAAGTTCACTATGATGTCGTTAGAAGATGATCGAACACTGAACAAAACTGTCCATTTTCAACCTCCAAGCAACCTACTAAACATGAACGAGATGGCTTCACTATGGGAGGAGAAGATTGGCCGTACACTTCCTAGGGTCACCATCACAGAAGAAGATCTGCTGCAGATGGCCAAAGGTTTGTCCTAACTATTTTCAGTTTTCTTTAAGGTTTTGGTTCAAGCAACTTAACCTTTCTCCATGGAACTATATCCCACTCGGTTGGCTCCATTCAGCATTAATCTATGAAGCAGTAAGTTCTTGCTTAACAAAAATGGTTGCTAACCCAGCTTCTGATATAAATGCAGAGATGCGGATCCCACAGAGTGTGGTTGCAGCATTAACTCATGACATTTTCATAAATGGCTGCCAAATAAACTTTAGCTTGGACAAGCCAACTGATGTTGAAGTCTGCTCCCTCTACCCCGACACTCCTTTTCGAACCATCAACGAGTGCTTCGAGGACTTTGCCAAGAAGATATTTGATAATGCCAAAGCAGTGAGCAAGCCAGCAGCAAGCAACAATGCAATATTTGTGCCAACTGCTAAACCAGAAGCATTGCCTATCACTGCGATATGCACATGAGAAACATCTCTCTCTATCCATTTTCACATCAATAATTCTTTTGCAAGTTCTTTTAATCGTAAAATGTTAAGAGACTCTCTGTTGCCAGTGTTTCTGGCAAAAACTAATTAGATGTACCCCTTGAATAAATATCTACGCTCTGAAGGGTGAGAATTAGTAGTTAGGTTATGTATTTTGGTAATTTAGAATCATTTTACCATTGGGAAATAAAGGAACTTCGTGTCTTTACTGATGGGAAACTGCCCTGTCATTCATAGTTCCGCAAACATCAAAATTAACTCAGAAAAAAAGAATCTTCAATATCTTGCTCTTAATTCTAAAGTAATCCCATCTCAGCAAAAATTGTTAGGTGTTTTGTTCATGCTCATCCAATCATTGGATCCCTTTAACTCGGAAAAGATATTAACTAATTGTGACCACTCTTTCAAATGCCTATGCTCACTAAAACATGTAAATGAACTTTTTTGGATCTTTGAGATAACCTTCTGGTGCAAAGCAGAGTCACTATTATTGTAATTGTAACCAATAAATATTTATCTGATATAAACAGTTGAATGACAACATATGGCAATTGAAAAATGTTACAAGTATCCATCAACTCATCACTATTTTGAAATTTCTCCAAGGGCATTGACCTACTTGGTCTAGCAGGAAAATTAAATGAAAGAAAAAGATTGACAATACACAATTTTAAGGGGCTTGTCCATGCAATGCAAGAAAATGGCTGCCACAGCCTGAGTAAATAATCTACAATCTATAATTAAAGTATGAAATTCTGGATGACAGGATGAGGTAGGACACATTTGCCATTTCAAAACTTTTGGTGAATAAAACTATTTTTGAATTCTCACCTCATCTAGCAGCTTAAGGTTGTAAGTCACATTGATTCTTCAAATCGAATTAGAGTCTTTCTAACCATGTGATCAAAAGTTTGAATCTCAAGTAACTATATTTCACCTAAAATTAGATTTCAGAACAACCTTTGAGTTTTCAACCCAATGGCTAGTCCGGAAGGGCACATGTTAATGAGTAAAAGTATTCTTGATTACTAACCTCATAACTTAAGCTTTTAGGATGAGTGGCTCTTGACAAAACCAACTTGTTGAAGACAAATACATGAGAAGGAAATCTTATTAGCTGTTGTATGACTGGAATATTGATTAAAGAGGTTCTAAGTTAAGTTGCTTTTATTTAGACAGGCTTTGGAAAAAAAGAAATTGGAGAATTATCAAGAGAACTATTGTTGGTGCTATGCTGTGTGAGTAGATTATTTGGGAATTTTGTGTTTAAGGCTAATATAAATCTTAGAATTGTCGATTCTAATGGAGTTAAATATTTAGCAATTGTGCATGGATTTTCTGCAACATTAGAAAATACTTGCAGAGTGGAAAAGAACCAATTAATGCAAGCCAAATGTCATCAGCTGTAGGGCAAAGCCTCTAGTGTCAAATAACCACATTGAGTTTTAAGAGACTAGAGACATTCCACCTGAATTGACTCCAACAAAATTAAATAAAATATTTAAAAGAATGACCAATATCACTTTCACATTTTAACTATTTAAAGTTTTCACTTACATTAATTTGTGATGCTATTCACTTTGAAAAGCAACTATGTCAATATCTGACAATCATCATTTCCATTTTCATGATAAAACTGACAATCATCATTTTGTTATGGGTATAAAGTCCAACATCTGATTTTAGCACCAGTACTTCTACTTGAGAGCTTAAAGAAGCCTTCTGTTTTTCTATTTCTGGTGGCATTTACTATCCCTATGGACAACACTGTCAAAAACCATGTCACCCATTTACTTGCTCTTTGCCTTTTCTGCCACCACTCAACAACCCTCAAACTCTCTTGGTTGTTCACTTAGATAATCCTAAGAGTATTTTAGCAGTAGACTACTATTTTGTTGAAATAAGTTTCAACAATTATACATTTAATGGTATTCAATTTACAGTAATCAATAATATTTAACTTGATACTGGTTTAGTAAGGTCAGTTTTAGTATATTCTCTGTGATTGAATTACTTTCCATCACGTTTAATCTAATTTCTATATTTGCAACTGTTTATCCATTGAGTTATTTGCTTCTAAAATTAAATTGATACTACCATATGAAACTGCAATAAATGAAAGGGTTTTCTTTAGGAAGAAACTAATTATAAATACACAATCGCATAACAGAATGGTTAATAAATAGTTAAATTGTTTTCTAATTACATTCATTAAGCAAGGAAGCTATTAAGTGATATTTTCACGTTGTAAGTTGTTAAGGATTATTGTGAACAATATTTTTCAATCATCATAACAATATTTTGTTTATTTAATGAGATGGTATGCTTGGGTTTTTTTCCTTTAAATTTGTATTTTAAATTTTCTTGAATATTAAATATTTTAAATTTTATGTTAAACTTTTCTTAAAATATTTGTATTTTTAATGGTGCTTATTTAGTAAAAAAGCCCAATAAAACAAATTTTCTAACCCATTGTTTAACTGCATGCAAAAAGTCACTTGCACAAGAACCAACAAAAGGAATAAAATGAACATACCAGGGAGTAGAACTAACACCACAGTTTTAAAATAAAAGAAAAAAAGGATTGAAACATGTCATTCTGTACTATCAATGCCAGCTAACAAGCAAGCAAAATCTTACAAGCCCATGTCACAAGATCATTTCTATGATGAAATTATATTTACATTTTCTAAAGTTAAAAGAATAAGGGGGAAAATCTTGTTGTAATTATAGCATGTGCATTCCTATATTTCTATACTAGCTTATGTCATTTCAAACAGGCAACACCCTCCACTGTGAAAACTTTATAAAAACATCTGACCTGTCTAAAGTTATTTGATCTTCACCGCACACTCCCATTTATACAGCAAAGTTGCCAAGTTAGAAGTTAAACATCATATACAGGTAAACGTTCCTCAATGCAGACACGACAGATTGGGCATTTCCTACACTTCTCGCAGCAGGTACTGCAATGCAAAGGTACCGATAAGCACAACATCAGACGATTAAAGAAAATGTAAACATTAAGGTGCAAAAAGGATTAAACTCCATTTGGATACATTCTGAAAACGCAATGGCATCAAAGGAATGACCATATTATACCTGCAAAGAATACGATGCCTACAGGGGAGCAAAACCACACTAATTTCTCTCTCAAAGCAAACCCTACATAAGACTTTCTCCTGTACAACACATCAAGAACATGCACAAATCAGCAGTGCAGAAAAGAACATATCTCAGTCCGGTTTCATTAGGCTTACAATGCAGGATTTGACAATTAACACAGGCATCATCATCCACAATATTGACAATGCTAGAAACTCCCTAACATTACCAACCTAACCAAGCGAAGTTAAGAAATATTATAGCGTGTTCTTATAAACAAATGACAGAAAAATCGCTGGCATCGTTAACATATATATATATAGAAAGAGACAGTGAAACAAGCCTGGAAGAACAAGGAGATTTCAAGCATTAGTACTTTCAAATACCAATGGACATCTCTATGATGAAATATGACTAAAAATAGCCACTGAAAACACAGAACTTACTGAATTAACTATTTCACAGTACAAAGCCACAAAGGTAAAGTTGAATTATTACATTTTGAAGTCTTTCATACTCCTGCTGGCTAAATTTTGTTATTTCTGTTTGCTCACCAAGAGCTGCCTGAAGCCTCCATACCTGAGATGAAATAAACTATATTAAAATATGCACCAGCAGAAGCAGAATCTCTAACATTGATGGACATTCTGGTATATCACACTAAAACAATTTCAAAAGTATCACTCTAACATCACATGAAAGAGAAGAGAAACATGTCATGAAATATAGTACAAAGTACAAGCACAGAGATGCAGTAACCCAGTTAAAAACAAAAAGGAGTTGTATGCGAACTATAATCACCTCCTCAGCTAAATCCTTTTTAGGCATTTTCTTAACTATCTCAGGTGGATAACCAGAGAAGGTATTATACCTGCATGGAGCAGTAAAATGAAAGAGGTTAGAGAAAAAGGTAGTGAGAATGCCAAAGGAGTAATCAGACTCTATGATTAGTTAAAAGTGGGATAAAACATTAACATCATTGAAAGCCACTAATATGAATTTTGCCATGCCATGAATTTACGCGATCAGCACCATTCTCTTACGCTTTTTTCTTGAGCTTTTCGTTTCTTTAAATCTTAACCTTGTTTTACAACTTCCACCACCACCCAAAAAAATAACAAAATCAAATAAAACCCAAATGTACCTATGCGGTTCCTTTGTCATCTTTCAGTCCTCAATAAAGGTGCAAAATTCACTCATATAGAGTCTCCCCCTCACCCCCCCCCCCCCCCCCCCCCCCCCCCCCCCCCCCCCCCCCCCCCCCCCCCCCCCCCCCCCCCCCCCCCAAAAAAAAAAAAAAGTCAAATCAAACCATGCATGTGATGCATTTGGTTTGGTTTTTATTCAATTGGGTTCGGCAATGTCAAAAAGACCAGAGACTTTGAATCAACTTCAGACATTGCTATTGAAACACGAATTTGTTCAACAACTGAATTGAAAATATCACCAATTTAAATGCTTATTCTATTTTGTTAAGATTTAAAATTGCTTCTTAAGTCCAGATACGTAATCAGATAAAAATTCTTTAACCATTTTAAAAGCTTGAAACACAAATAATTATACCTAGTATCGGTTCTATTCGATTTTATTTGATTTTGACTTTTGTTAATAAAAACCCAAAGTACTCCAATCAAAGAGAATTGAAGTTATTACTAACTTAAATGCATTCTCCATCTTTAATAAGATTCAAAAATGCATTTTTAAACCCCATAGGCAAAAATAAAGTCATCACAAAGTTAAAGGCCTTTCAAAAACCCATAACCTAATTACAATAGCTGGGAAAATTCAATCTAGTCTAATATGTGTCTGAGATGGTTTTAAATTTCTAAATCTGAGCTGAACACTTCAATCTTATTCAACTTTATCAAAACCAAACTCAAATATACTCCTAAGTACCACCCATACCAGCACCTATTTGACCACGTTAAAATGGTTTGATAAATGGATAACCACTTTAAGGGAGCATAAATAGTTTGGATATCAGTTGATAAAAGTCTTAACCAAAATAAAGTCCATTTACAAATAGACATGCATTACCTTGCAATCCTGGCTTTGAAAATCTTGAGTAATGACATTCTAACTCGTATGGAGTAAAAAAAAATATTGATAAGTTATATGGTAACTATTCACCTAAGCAGTTACTCTACATCTATCAAATTTCAGCTGTCCATCTTTCTTTATAGAGATAACTCAAAAGTTTTATCCTCTTTCCTTTTTTAAACACCAAAACTCTTACATTTTCTGTGCTCCATTTTTATTTTTTACAATATTTTTAGTATCTTTTCAGCATTAAAGAAATTAATATCAATATAATCAAACTTTTTATTATCTGTAAAAGATGGAAAGAAACTAAAACTATACTAACCCAGAAGCCCCATCATGGTAAAGTCGGGCCTGTTCCTCTCTACTTCCTTCATCAATTGACCACCAACCCAATAACCTGATTTTACACAGACAGAATTAGCTGTGGCAATCCATGAACTGCACAATCTAGCCCAATAAAACTGTCTGCCAATTTGGAAACCAAATAGTCAGTACCTAGAGCCATGGTGCAAGAATCCCAAGCAATCATGCGCTCTTGATGAAAATCTGAAGTATAATCCTGTGCCAGCCCCACTCCGTAGTAAAAGTACAATTTTCTCTATTAACCTTGATGCAGAAAATAGAACACCAGCACCATGCAATAGGAAAAGAGGAGAGAACAAAATTGGAAGTGGTATATGTCTAGCACCAGCAGGTGTTCCCTGAAATTGGTAACAACCATAGATTTGTCGATAAATATATCCCAACCATAGCCAATACCACCAATAATGCACATACCTCTAAACGCATGCAGAGGAGGACTTGAAAACCAATTATTGGAATTTTCATAATGTGACCACCGATGTCTTGCAGACCACAGATTGTATCCTGCTGCTGATCTTCCTCTGGAGTAACTACTAATCCACCGTTCCAGTCAAGATATCTGAATGTTGTGGTAGATGGACCAGCTTCTCTTGCAGGAGAGTTTCTATGAATTACTGGATTAGACCACTTTGTACAGACAAGAAAAGCAAAGCTCTCAGCAATACTGCATGAAAAAATGAGATAGCATTCACCACCCTTTTCTAGTCACCCAAGCTCAAGCAGACTATCATGGTGCTATTTCCAGGAACCCCTGCTAAATAATACTCAAAAAACAAATCAATGATATTAAAAGTAGCGAAGCTGTACCCAAAATTTATAAACAAGTCCCACCAGCCAAGAGCACCTACATCACCTGCAATATTCGTAGAGGAATAGCTCAAACAGTAATCACTGAGAAGAAATTTTAACCCAAAAAAAAAAAAGTTAGATCAATCAATTTATGGCCTCAAAAAGTGCTGCAAACTACCAAGTCTAGTAACTAATTTTTAATGGTCATTAACAAAATATTAGTGGAAAAAAAGGGAATCAAAACACCTATGTACTTAGATTAATCAAATTATGGTGCTTAAGAAATGATGCAGATTCTGGAACACAATTCCAGTACCTAACTTTCCAGATTTTCTGTGTGCGTGGACACAAGTGCAAGCACAAAGCAGCATGCACATAAGCTCATGCATGTGTGTGATAAGAGAGATAAGATGTACAAAAGTAGATTTTACCACATAAATCTGAAATAAACCAACCACAAACATACTAAAATATGCAGATTGCCCAAGAAAACAGGATGCACTATATGAATCTCTTTGCACATAATTTAAAGCAAAATACTTACTATTTCTATTTTCCCCTTAGGACCTTCCTACCTCCCCCACACCCTTCTTCATTCTTTCACTCTCTCATGAAGGCCAGAACTTCATAGCTTTTTTGAAAATTAAAGAAAGGCAGCAGTTCTGGCTAGAGAAACGTCACAATAAAAATAATAATTGCAAATCAAGGATCAGTCCACAAGGAAGAACACCGTTCTTTATGGATAGTGTGCTTTATCATTTTATTGATATCATACAGAGCCAACTACCCCGTGCCAACACTGCCTTAATAGGATATTTAGGGATGGTGATTTGACAAAGATGCCACTCTAAATACTTGACCTATTACAGTTAATACTCCCAACCAAAGACCTTTATCATTGCACCACGTGATTATTCATTTGCTTATGCACCAATAAACAAATACAATAAGTTTAAATGCTAAGGAATCACTAAGCACACTAACCCTAGTGACAGAGACATCAAAACCTTCAAAAGATTATAATAATAATAACGGACTAAATGACTCCTGTGAAAACACCACATACAAGCTTTACATGAAAATATCAAGATTAACAGCTTCTGGATCTGCAAAACAGAAAAATGATCTCATGTAACAGATTGCCTTACAGCACTGAGAACTTCATTTGGTCTCAAGCAAGAATACACTGTCCAACCTATGAAGAGTAAGGACATTCAAGCTTCTGAAATCTCCAGGACTAAAATGCTGTTATTTTTGTTCTCTATTATATAAAGTTACAAACTACACAGTTCACTCCAATTTATCAAGTAGCATTCGTTAGCCACATGCTTTACCAATCCATATACCTTAAAGTATCAGAAAATGGTACTTCGTAATTTGTCACTATGCCTATACAAGAGTGATATGTTTCACTGGAATGATATAGATAACAGGATCAAGAAACTAGAACATAAAGCTTATGTAGACAAGAATAATATGCCTCAGTTTGTGTGCTACTCCTCATAATGGTAGTAACGTTAACGGGAGTTAAGAAATTACCACATAACTTCAGAATAGTGAAGACTGTAGCAGCAACAAAGAAGACCATAGAAATTGCAACCCAGAAGTGCTACAAATCATCAATAGGGAGCTTATTATAGTCAATTTTATATTACTTGACAGGCTTACATCCCAAATAACAGAATATATTTTATCAAAAACCAAGTTTCTCAATAATGCTCAACATGTTTACCGTGACACCTAAACGCAAAATAGTTGCCACACATCAACAATCATATGCTTATTCTAACTCTTGGTTTCTTGGAGACGTGAAGAATAAAAACAATACAAAGCACTAAAGGGCTACATCTAATCTTATACAAAATTCATACACTCAATTCATTTACAACCATTTTAGCATTCCACATCATAGCCTTTTATAGTTTTTATTGGTTGTCTGCATGATATATTAATAAAAACAAGGAGAAAATAACTAAAAAATAATGAAGTAGAATAACAGTGCTATTTGATCCATTTTCGTCCATGAAAAAGCTCAGATCTGAATGCTATGAGTAAATAGAAAGTTCTTAAGGGTAAAACCCACAAGCTCAAATATTTGAATAGAATCTTCATATTTTAAATCTGCATTATCTTAGAGTAATTAATATGTAACTGGATTGCCAAATTTGCTAAGGTCAATAAAACTTACAGGTAGTGTCTCCCATATTGCTTCATCACTAATGCTTTCATCATCTCCTGGCATCAGAGCCCTGCACATTCTGAGGAAGAAAATGACATCAATCACTACGATGAAAGCATAATGGATAATTAGGTTCTGAGAAAACTGAATTACCAGAAAACAGGGGAAGAAAAGATGTGCTTAAAATTTTAATATTTAATACTGACAGTAATTATCCTAATCCAAATTCTAGTATGCAGCTCTATGCTAAGAAGCATAACAAAGAGAAGGAGACAATAGCAAATCTAATATCAACCAAAATATTTCCACAGCACATACCTAAAACATTACCTGCTCCATTTGCACCCCCTTGTTACCAAAAAGGCGAAAAGATGATAATTTCCATAAAATATGAAGTACTTAGCTATTGTTCGTTCAAAACAGAAGTCATGAAGCCACCAGAAACTCATGGTTGTCTAGCTTTTAATTTTTTTTCTAAAATATAATGCTCTCAGTCTAGCAGGGATTGCCACAACTCAGTTCAGCTGGCTTCATCCCCTAATGATCGTATTACACTAACTTTTTTGTCCCTAGTTAAAAGTAAAACCAGGTAATGACAAAGAATGATGAAAGCTGAGATGCCTAAAATAAACAGTCAAATAGTTAATCTTCTTTCTTATACAACTCTCAGGAAAATTATCAACCATTCATTGCTATTACTAGCTAGTTTCTAGCTTGGCTATCATACTCCCAGGCTGACTAACAAGATAAAGTCTGTCAGATGTTATGAATGAAGCAAATTCTTATTCTTTAACATGAATCTATATACTTTTATACATAGTTTATTTTCTTCAAAAAGTTTACATTAGAAGTCTCCATCTTGCCTAAGGCTTTTTGCCTTTCGAAGCTACTGACTAATTGAGCTCATGCAATAGTTCATTTTCTTTACTTTGAAAAGTTTATAGTAAAAGTCGCCATCTTGTATGCCCAAGGCTTTTTGCCTAAGCTACTTACTAATTGAACTAATGCAATAAAGAGGAGGGGCACATGACACAGCATTTTAACAGCCACTTAGTGCCATGATTTTTATACATAATAAGGTAAAGACGAATGCAGATATCTGCCTATGTCGTGTGAGATGATACTGCTATTCTTCTCAGCCTTTAACACTTGTCATCGGTCCCTGAATAAAACCAAAGAGTTATACAATAAAGACTTGGAACCCAAGTCTTCCCTTCTTAACATACAATCGAGTTTTGATATAAACAAGTCTAAAAACACTGAGAATGCCATTAAACATTGTTCCTCAATAAGTGAGTGAAGCCACATATTGGTTAAATCCTAAATGCCCAAATCAACCCTTGATGAGGACAGACCACATTCCAAAATCACAGATTGGTACCAATCTGCTACAAGTTCAGAAATAGAGAACACTTGGAATTAGCATACAAAGATGCTGAGGTCAACTGATTCCCTACATCAATTTATCAGAGCCTCATATAGTTCCATAATAACGATGAGAAAACGCATGAGAAAGAGTTAACGAGCAATAATCTTCAGTTAAGTGAGTAAAGGCATGACCAGAATTGAGATCTCTCTGATGATGGGACTAGTGCATGATTTTAACAGACTATGGATGAAAAGTTCAATAAATCTTTTAAATTAAAGTACCTGAAATTGTCAATTAAAATAATTATTTCAAACGCCAACAATGGAAGAAAGACAATCTTCAAGTTTACAGCAGGAAAACCGTGAACTGTAACAAAAGAATCAATGATGTTGGTGAGCAAAACCCATCAAAGAAGAATGGAAACACTGCAATAATTTAAAGTTTACCTCACCTATGACTACAGTATTCAAAATTTGACATATTGATCATAGAAATAAATTAACCTTACTAAGATAGATGATAAACATTCAAACCCCAGTAACATGAAAAACAGAAAAGAAAGTGTTGGCTCCATACCATTTACACTCTCAAGATATATACAAAGAAGCAGCTCAAATGCTATAAGTAGTGGTGTCGCAACAATGGCATGACATGGTGCCCACTATCCAAGCAAAAAAGAAAAAAACCAATAGTTATGATCATAAAACTTGATTACGAATTTGAAACTTTCACATTCAGAAGAACCCAATAGAGAATTTATGGTTAGTCAAAGTTTTATTCAAGTAACATGAAGGTCATAGTAACGGACTGACATACCTGACGATTATGGGGGACTGAAGGAGCAGGTAATGAAAATCTTCCACGCGCAGCAACTCCATGAAACATCCAAAGTGGAAAAAATATTATCCTGCAATCCAAAGCCATTACATAAAGCAACTAAAACCTAAAATCAATAATGAAGACGACACAAAAAGACAAAAAACCATATGCCTAAGATTTCTCAGCATTTAAATCAAAACAACAGCAAATCAATCTACATATTCAAACAACTTATGTTTCCCTCCCTTCAAAATAAAAAACACAACTTGAACAAAATGGATCTATTTTCCTCACGAAAATTTTAGCTCTTTGCTCTTCAAGAGCAAAAAGGTAATGCAGAATAGATCCAAAACATTAAAAAGTGGAAATAAAAGAAGGATTAAAGAAAAAAAAGAGTCATTGAGACACTTAAAACATTCTGCTGAAGAGACAAGATTTTTAGCAGAATATGACAACCCTCAGCATTTCAGATTTTATTTGAGGAGGTGGCCACCCTGTGATTATATTACTCTTTCAACAGCAATAAAAGCCAATACCACATAAAACCTACAGCTTTATAGTCAAACAGCAAGAATCTCACTTCTTCAAGCTCTTCTTTGAATGGAAAAAAATCACCTAGCATCTCCAACACCCCCAGCCTCCAAGTCCTCATCATCTACATGCACAGTTGTGGTCAAGTCAAACTAGCTCCCACAACTGAACCCTCCTTGTATCTGATATCCACTCCATCAGAGCAAAAACTCACTAATCCATCTCGCCATCACCCACATCATATCCCTGGCACCCCCATATCCCTAGATTTCTTTCTCTATTGTCCAATCACAACAAAGGTACCCTCTTGAGCCATGAAATTCCCAAATATGTTAATAAGTTGGAAGAAAACCCGATAGTACTGAATGTCAAATCAGTTTTCAACAGCTAAAATTAAAAAGCTTGAATAAACAACTTATGAAGTTTACATGATTGAATTTGGATGGAATGGATACAATACTGAATTTCTTATAATCTATTTCTCTACATAGAAAACATGAGAGGAAGAACAGCTGCTTTTCTCCTTTGCTTGGATGATTAGTTGTTTGACATTCCAGAATTCGTAAACTTCACTCTCCTTTCTGATTTTGGAAGCAGTTTGAGCAACTGACATTCAAAACCGGGCCATATGAAATAAATTAGTCATTTAACTTTCAGATTTCAACAAGATCCTAACATGAACTTCAAACCATATTTTAGGAATAAAGAAAAGCCCTCCTGTCACACCTGAAGAGTGAGGATTTTTCTATTTAAAATACTGCTATTTAGAAGCTAATGGGTCCAACAAAAAATGCAAGCAGGTGCATGTCAGCCATTTTCTTCATTGATACTATGATAAAATATCTGGTTGTGCTATCCAATAAGTACTCAAAGACCAGCTGGTGTAAAAACTGGAAATGTTTTCATGCTATCTAACTTATTACATCGCACAGCTGAATGTCACCAAGAAAGTTTATAACAATATTCCTATTTTCCAATAATATGCAATTTCACTTCTCAGTCTTGTCCCGTAGTATGTTTTCACCACTTTTTTATTTCCAAAAGACCTACTTCACTCATTCTTCATTCTCACACAAAAACATTTAGTGTGTGGAGGAAATCCGGACTTCCTCCATCTTCGTGGTCCACAGGCTTTTCCTTTTCTCAAAGTGTCAAAGAACAACCACAGTACAAGTCCCTTTCCGCTAAAGTACTAGTGATAGATAAAATGAGCTTCAGGCAACTGTAAGTTTCCTTTGAAAATGAGCCGTAACTGTGTCCAGCAACTCCACTGAAAAACGATCCCAAAACTGTTCTAAGTTAAATTTTCTAGCATTTGTTTCCAAGTTTTATTGCTTTGGTTTTCAACATGAACCTTCAATTCCTTTGCTCCTTTGCTTTATGTCAAAGGTTTGCCATTAATTTCAGCTCTAATAACATAACAATATCAATCCAATGCACCCAAATACATATTGTAAAAGAAAACTTCATATTCTTCAAAAATAATATTGTTTGCAAAAACATTCATTTATCAAAACTATAGTACAAATCCATCAATTTTTAGTCACCAAAAAATCATATCCGGTGACAATATTTTCCCTTTCTACTGAACTTGTACAAGGAATAAACTTTGCAAGCAAAAACATATTCTCTCCTCAATAATATTAAAATTTTAAAAAAAATAAAGCTTTATCCTCAGCAACAGCAAGCGCTTCCTAAATAATCACCAAAACTTCCATTAATCCAAACAGAACCCAAAAAAAAAAAAATTAAATACAACCTTTAATTTTGAAAAGAAAAACGTTCTATTTCAGCAGCGAATTCAAGAAAAATCAAATTGAAACCCAAACATGCAAAAACAAATAAAACAAATTTACATATGAGTGAGAGAGAGAGAGAGAGAAATAAACCGACCACCAAGAGTAAGAAACGACATGATCAAGCTTAAGCAGAAGCAAAAGCGTGAAACAGAAAAGAAGGCTATGCGCTACCAAAGCCTGCACCGACTTCAACACTCTCCTCCAACTCATCTTCTTCTTCTTCTTCTTCTTCAAATTTCCAAAACAACAAACTCGGATTAACTCATACACAGAAGAAAGCGCAGCCCTAAATTTTCACTAAAACAGTCTTCCCTTCCCCTCCCCGTCCTCCTCCTCCTTTTCTTCCTGTAGATTCTCTTTGGGTTTTAACTAATTGGAATCTTTAGTTGCAAGGGAAAAGGAAAAGATTTTCTCTTCGGAGATTTCAGTGGGCGCCAATAACCCATTCACTACCTCCCCTTTCCTCTCTCTCTCTCTCTCTCTCTCTCTCTCTCTCTTCCGTTTGGATTTTTCTCTTTTTTTTTCTTTTTTTTCCAATTAATGAATAAAAAACAAAACGCATTTACTCTCAAATCCCTCTGTTCTCTTCCTTTCTTCTTCGCTTTCACGCCGAAGCAACGCATCAAAATCACTGTTAATTTTTTAATTACCAAAATACCCTAAAACATGTACAAATACATTAGTTTTAAATCGAGAATATTTTGACAACTTTATTAAATAAAATTAACAACTTAACTCCCTCGAGAATAATAATTATTCATAAAATATTAATTAAAAAAAAATCATAAAGTGTTTTGTAAAAAAATTTGAAATTATAAAAAGTATCAGTGAAATTTACTCTGAATTACCAAACTGTATTAACAAAAATAAAATGAACAATTTTCTTTTGGTTTATCAGATTTGAAACTCATAATATTATATAAAATGCTTTAATTATTATGAAAATAAAATATCTTTTTTGTGTATTATTTTATTAGCGACCAACCTTGTTCGTAACAAAGTTCTATTTAATACTAAAGAAAAACGTTAATAATTAAATATTTTATTTTTTAATGTATATTTTGTGTTTCCGCTGATCTACTGCCTTTCTTTTGTCCTGTACTAACCTTTTTCTTCTTAAGAATGTCACCTATTTTGTTTTTAATTGCTATGTTAAAAGTACAAGATTAATTTTGAGTAAATTTATTTAAAATAATGATTAATTAATAAAGAATGTGCGGTCCAACATGTCTCAATCAATTCATACTGACAAGCATTATCAAATATTCGTGGATAATTTATATGCTTTGCAAATTACAATTAAAAATTAGGTATAAAGACAGATAACATCAAAATCGTATTCCTAAAAAGATCGTACTTTAATATTTTATAAAATTTGAAAAATTTTAAAAGAAAAGAGGACAATCATATCTTAGATCAGTATTTTTCTTAAAAGAGATAATTATCCTTAGGTCATAATTAAATTATTGTAACAAATTTTTATTTTATTTTAAAAGAAGATGTAATATTTTAAATAATTTTTAAATATTAAAATTTTTAAATAAATTATTTTATTATATTTAATTAAATTTTTATATTTTTATTTTGAATCAAATAGATTCACATAACTAACTTTGATTAATGGACATTAGTCAAAATATTATTAATCATTTTTATGTTACATGATGTTATTACAGGAAATAAAAATGTAACGTAATTATATGATTATGTTATATTATCATCTATTATGATATATTAATATCATATTAACATCACATGACATTAAATAATAAAATATATTATGATTAATAATAATATGTCAATTATTAATTTTATAATTTTATTTGATTTAAAATAAAAATATAAAAATTTAATTAAATATAATATAAAAATAAAATTATATTTTTATTTTTATTTTTTCGTTAAACTGGATTTCCATATAATTTTAAAAAATTAGCAAAACAGTCAAAGGACGGCCCAAAAGAAAGGACAAGTAGTACTACTTTCACGAACCTCTCCAAAAATAGATTCGGAAGCCTGGTTATCAAAAGCTAAAATGTCTTAATCACCGTTGATCAATCCTTTCTTAATTAAATTAATAAGATTAATTTACACGCGCACAAACGACACGTATTTACGAAAATACCCCATGAAAACGACACGTTGGAAAAGCGACGTGTCCTTGTTGTTTCGGTTATTATAGTTGCAATTTCTGAATCGCAATTTCTGAATACAAAACAAAAACCCATCCGCTGACAAGCCTAGTCAAGCGGGTGTTTTAGGAAGGTGCAATGGGGTTGCAGCAGCTGTCTTTTCCTCGACCACGTGGCGTGATGTGACTGGTTATTTACAGTTAACAATAACAGGTTTGTCAGGGGAGTTTGGTTCGTGTCGGGTGTCGTAAAATCCAAAGCCCGACAGAGGGATTTTATCGGGTGGTATGCAATTACTTTACATTTTTCCTTCCTTTTATGGTGAAATAGTTTTTCTTTTTTTTTTCAATAAACATTTTACACCAATTATTTTTTTTGCACAAAAAATATATTTTATTTATATAGATAAAACATAAATAATATGTATAATTAAGAAAAAATAGATTATAAATAGTAAAAAAATTAATAAAACATAATCTTTGTTTTGGTCAATGAGGGAATCATAACTTTATCTTATATAAAATAATATATATTCAATAAAAAATTTAAAATGATGAGTTTTAGGTTATTTATAATGTGTAAAATATATAATAAATATAAATTTGAAGAAAATAATATTTTATTTTTGGATGTAAAATAGGGCATTTAAGACAACTTAGGGGCTATTTGATAAAATAATATATTTATAAAATTGTTTGATATACTATTTAAAAACAAGTACTAAACATACTTTTAGTTGCATCTCTTATTAAATAAATATATGAATTTATTAGAATTTACATTAAAAAATTAAAAAATAAAAAGAGAAAAGAATGCAAAATTAATGTAATTAAATACTTAAAACTTTCAATATTTTTTAATTAAAAATATTATGATAAGTAATTTTTCCCACCAAAAAAACATAATCACTCCATTTGGCAATCAAGGATTGGTGATCAAAAGCCATTGGGACCCACTATTAATTATTATCAACATATTATCTGATTGGATTTATAATCTTCTGAATCATTGCAACAGCTGTACTTGTCCTGTTTAACAAAAATATCATGATCATTAATTTCAGTTTGTAGTTATCATTTGACGTAAGATATTTTCATGTTATTTTCATCATTTTGGCATTTTCTCCATTCCTCTCCAGAGTTTCTTCTTATATTATTATTTCTTAATAATTGTTTTAATGGGTATGCATATCAATATGCAATGAATTTGTATATTTTCAATATGGAAAAAAATACTACTAAGTTCGGAAAAAAAAATCAATCGAGAGGATTATATTTTAATTTGTACATAAAATATCGTTGATAGTTATATACTGGATTTTTTTTAGATATAATTAAAAAATTAATAATAAAATGTATAGCTAATATATTTAATTAAATAAATACTTAAAAATAAATTGTAAAAGATTAAAATGGAATCATTTCTAAACATTATATATTATATGTGGAGGAATTATGTGTTCTGATTTTTTTTTTTTTCATTTTGGCTTCATAAGCTTCCAAGAAGATATTAAGTATTGGCTAATGGACAAAAATAATAAAGAAGAAAAACAATTGCCCATATCCAAATATATTAAAAAATATCAGTGCATTTGGAGATTTTTTTTTAATGAAATGTACACAGAAGATTGGGATGTTGAGAAATAGATTAATGGATGAATTTATTAATTTTAATTTTATTTAAAAATAATAAGAAGAAATTTAGAAAAATGAAATAGGCTGAACTTTTCTAAGTAAATTGAACCAACTTTACCGATTTCATTAATTATATTTTATTAATTAAGCAATTTTAACCAATTTTTCCATTACTACTAAAAGTTGTTTTTAGATAAAAAATAATAAAAAGAAATCTAAAAAGTTAAATACATTGAACCTTTTTTGTTAAATTGAATCAATTTAATCGATCTCTTTAATTAAATTAATTAAATTTTATTAATTAGTTTTTTTAGACTTGAGAAAAAAGAGATTTAAATATATATATTTTTTAAAAATTATATATCAATTAATAAATTAATTATTAAAATACATTATATCAGTTTTAATTAAAGACAAAAAAAAAATTCCCTTTCCCATTGGCAAACTAAGGAATAAATGCAAGGCCCCACACCTGAGAATCTGAGACATGTTAGGTTTACTTTAAAAAAGTTATGTTTTGAGAGTCTTCTTATAAAAGGAATTTATGACGGGTGGACAGCATGTCCGGACCGGACCGGGTTGGTTCTATCTTCTACGCACCAGCACCACGCACAAAATCTGATCAGACAGCCCATTGACTTTGGTCCAACACAACGTTGTTGAACTTGAACCCTGTTCGGTCAAAAATTGATCCAAACCCGACTATTTGGTAGTTAGATCGGGTAAGACTTGATCAAAGTCATTCAAAAGGTCCCTTTTTTTTTTTTAAATACCTCTTTACAAATTTCATATAATTAATGAGATTTAAACTTTTATTAATTAAAAAAGATAAATACAACAAGAACATATTTCATTTATACATATCGCGATTTTAATTTTTTTCTTACGTCACTAGTGATTTTTTTCCTCATATTTCAATTAACATCGAGTGGATCGAGAATGCAAAATTGATGCTTATAATTAAGCACCACGTTTGGTTTTTTGATACAAATCTTAGTTCAAAGGGAAGCCAAAGAGAAGGGAATATATGATCCATTAAAATTCAATGCAAGCCAGGGATTCCACATCTCTTAATTCCTCAATTTAAACCTAGGTAAGAAAAGTACTATTTACATCAAGAGGCACCCCATCACCTCTGCAAAAAAAGAAGGGAAGAGAGATAAATAACAGAAAGCCCGGTAATCAGGCTAAGGTCAGATATGCCACCCCAAAAAGAAGACAGCAGGGCTGCTGCTGCTGCTTCCAGTGACAGTGTTAAAGTTTCTGTTTGTACAAAAATGGGAAAGGAGTGCTCGACACGAAGCCATTTCACAATAAACCACTAGAAACATTACCTTCACCCGCGGTTATGCAGGCGAAGAGGGTACCTTGATTTGGGGGTAACTAAAGGAATTGCCGGAGCCAGTAACAGTTCACTGCATCCTTTTCTAAGTCACCCTTTAGCTTGTTTACTTGTTGCAGAGCCTGCTTCAGGTCCATAGACTCCAATGGCAAATCGGCAAAGTCCTTCAAGAACTTGTGAGCCTTTGCAGCACCTCTAGACATGTCAATAGGATCACACTCTCGCTTCCTTTTAGAACCCTCCTGTAAATCATAATTATTAGAATCCAATAATATATTCCAAGCAACCAGTCTTCCAGATAAAAGATGGGATTCATTTGCACCAAAGTTCCTCCTCAAAAGTATATGCAAAGCAGATGAGAGGAAACTATTTCCAGAATGAATGCTAGACTTTACAAAACACTAAAAGAAGACAGCTATACAACTCAGGAAAACTGTGATGTTACAGAGAGTGAAAAATATATGGCTCAAACACAAGTTATCATTCAGGACTTTGTGTAAATTGTCAACTTGCACTCTAGATTGTTAATTTGAAGTGTTTAAGCAATGAGAAAAGTGCCAACGGTCACCTACTCTCCTAGGTAAATGATAATTTCCTTTTCTTCTTAATTACCCTGTAGTTTGCCAACACATTGTATCTATCAGCAAAATATTGGCATGATTTAAAGTCAATTGTTATCTTCTTGAGCTATAACATGTGATACAAACAGCGGTGAATATCATTTCTAAGATCACTTCAACATCAGACAACTCTTGTATGACGGTATATGCACATCACATTTGGAATGAAAGGACGGTGCACTTGAGGGTGCATGCATTATCATGGAAACAGTTTCAGCAACTCAAGTGGCATAACATTAGTCCTGACAATTCTAGTAATGTAACTACTATCAATGCTATTAATTAATTAAAGGGAGGCATCCAATACCAGAAAGCTGAAGTTGATTGATCAAAAGAAAAAAGAGAATTATAAAAGAAGGGAAGCTGGAGTTGAAGCAGCTAACTAGCTTAGACCACAGTTGAAGCAGGAAAATCAGCTAAACGAAGTGTTTGCATGATCAGAACCAGATTGAAGGCAGATTATAGCCTTGTGACAAGTATTATAACAAAATAAATAAATATGTAATGGCCAAACCTCTTGTCTAGGATCACTGGAAATGATTGAAGTTGGCGAGAAATCTTCCAATTCAGCAGCCTTTTCTCTTGCAAGGGATATAACACTTTCAGGAAAGTTCGCAAATTCTGCCACATGAATACCAAAACTTTGATCACAGGCACCTGGCTCAACCTGGTCATGCATAGGAGTATAAGTGATTGTCTTCTGCTAAATGAAAATACATACCACAAAAGGTACCAATAATAGAACAAGCTTTAGTAGATTAATTTTAGAAATGATTATGTTATTTGCCTCCAAATAATGAATTTGGCTAATCCTGCATTACTAAAATGATAAATTGACCCCAAGCTAATTATTAACTTCTTGCCCTAAATACAAGCATTAGCCTGCTCAGCACTCTGGCCATGCCTAACATCAAGAGATTTACGGGCAGGAAGTATAGGACCCTGGAAAGGACTTGACCAGAATCAAAAGAAGCAACATTTACCCAACCATTTCTGGTGGGTTTCATGGTCCCATGGAAGGCCTCATAACTATCAATATGTTAACCCACCTTGTACAGCATTGTCAATTTGCGACTTGATGAGTCAATGTGAGCACTAACATGATAGTTTGCCACACCAACAATCTGTTTTGCCTGTGGCTCATCATTGGCATTTTCATGAGCTAATGCAGTCAGTTCATGGAAGTGGGTAGCGAACAAAGTAGGTGCTTTGATCACTTCAACAATATGCTCACATATGGCCCATGCTAAACCTGTGAATTAGGAATAAAGCCACAAAAAACAGATGACCATGGTGACAATAATATACAATCTGCAACCAAAACTGACAACACAATATACAGAAACTTGTGATATGCATGTGATGCACGCACACATGTCAAATGAGCGAAGGGGAAAAAGAATGGAAACTTTAAGGAAGTGGCATATTCACAGGAGATATTGTTTGGACAACGCTTTAGTTACATCTTCATCCAACATTCTAACTAAACAATTGTTTTTCTCCTTAACCATATCGATTGTGAATGTACCACTTTCAAGTAACTAATTGAATCTTTGCAGCTAACAACGAGAATCGTATATAAGCATGCAGATACACTTTATTTGGAAAATGATGATTGCATCAAAATGCACGCTTTAGTCATGCAAAAGTTTGACAGATTTTACGGGAACCCAGGTCTTAGTTGAAGAAAGACCAGAAAAGCATTACCCAGTTCAATGTGGTCCAATCAGACTAAATACATTAGGCATGCTTCCTAAGCTTAGGTGAACATTGGTGTGAGCAAGAATGAATTGGCTAAAGTCATCATTTGATGGAAAACCCTCTGCAGTCCAGCAGCACAACCATGGTGCCATATAGACAATGGTGGGAATCAAGGTTCCAGTTCACATCACCGTGAGGGTTGCCAGGAAAAAAAAAAACCAAAATCAGGGCGGGGTGGGGGTCCACTGGAAAAAGAGCTTGAATGGCAGTTATTTATGTGTTTCTACTGGTTAAAGGACTCAGACCTGCATTTCTTATAACTAACACAGAATGACTTTCTCATTCTTCAAGTATATTTTGAGACGTCTACTATCAAAATGTTGCATGGGCCAACTTAAATCCTCAGCCATAACTACATTCATTTATCCAACATACAAGGCAACATAACACAGTTCAGCATGAAGGTGAAGCAGAAGAAGGCTACCCCATCTTATTGTCATCTCTACATGTAAAATTTGGGGTCAAAGACAGGAAAGAATACTAGATGGACAGATGGTGCAGAAATTGTTAGAATAATGTTCAAGAAGGAAACTAACCAAATCCATCATAGGTTGATGTTCCTCGCCCCAACTCATCAATGATTATCAATGACTTGTCAGTAGCTCCTTTCAATATTGATGCAGTTTCAAGCATTTCTTGCATAAAGGTAGAAACTCCACGTAGCTACACAAAAGAAGAAAAATATTGTTTAATCACATCCTATATCCTTCTCCTCATGGGTCTCAACAAATATATTCTGCTGACAGAGAAAATGAATTTGCCTTATTGATTGATTGCAATATGTAATCAAGATACAATACCCTTTTGAATTAAAATTTCTTTTTTGAAATAATTGCATTAACATTTGAGAACATTTAAAAGAAAGCAGATAATGAAAACATATATAATTGTCCAAACTCAACTACAACTTGCATACACAATGCTCAAAGACTTGGCTGGAATGACTAGAAACAATCAATAACTTGAGAGATTAGGTGTACGTTGCATGTGAGCAGGGGTGCATGCCTATGAGCAAAAGTGAGCTATTCTCAACACTTAAAACTTCTAATCTTTGCAACTGTTTCAGCAGGAAAACTTTACAATGGATGAAATAATAATTCTTAAAGAAGGGAACAAGGAGTATAAAATGCAGAGGGTTTACATGAAGAAAGCATTTACCAAGCAAAGTCATAGCAGACTCAGTTGGTTATGCCAAGTTTATCCAAAAACGTTTAAACTTTAAAATTATGTGCCATGTAACTTACTTGGCAGTCACCAGCACCAACACGGGCAAAAATGCAGTCTCGGACAGAAATGCTAGCTTTTTGACAAGGAACAAAAGAACCTACTTGTGCCATTAGAATGTTGACACCAACCTGTTCAACCAAAGTAGATACAATGCAATGAAACTTTTTTATAAACAGATCCAATGGTGACATCTGGCATAATGGAGCAGAAAGTCACTGGTTATTGAATTAGATAAATTTGAATGAGAACTATGTAACTGTATCATTAAATTAGCACCTGCCGGATGAATGTTGATTTTCCACCCATATTAGGCCCAGTGATGATCTGGAACCAGCTCCTTCCTCTTACCTGTATCATATAAAACAAAGAGCAATGAGTCACTTCAATTTGAAGAAGCCAGAAGTTTCTAGTCCTGGATCACAAGAATACTCACAAGTCTACAATCATTTGGTATAAAATTCACCCAGTCTTGCGCCTCCACACAGGGATGTCTACTTCCTTCTAATACAATATCTCCTACATCCTGTTATATCATGAAAATAACCATAATGTAAAGCAGTGGACCTTATTAAACAAAAAAATATAAAATATCAATGCAAGAAAGTAGCGAATATGTACCCCTGGAGTAATTTCAGGCCTTGTGTACGGGGTAGGGCAACTAGAAGCTAAATCAGCAAAACTAAGCAAGACATCCAATTCAGAGAGCAACCCAGCTAAGGGCTCAAACACCTGCAGCGTGAAACATCTCGATAGAAGTTCTAACAGGCAAAAGAAGCAACAAGGTACAAGAAAGCACAAATACCTCAGAAAAAGTTGCTGTAGTTTGAACCACTCGGTTGACTAGTTCTTTTTGACAGTTCTTATACTCCTCAAGTACATTTTGGTACTGGTCCCCCAACTTTTTAAGCTTTGTGTTAGTGAATTTAACTCCATCCTTTCGAGTTTCAAGAACAATAAATTGGGTGGAGAGCTTTTTTCTCACTTTTGGCTCTTCTTTCTTTGTAATTCTGAAAACATGTCCAAACTGTGTGCCCTTATCTAACTTCAATGCCTTGTCTACTGGCAGATCAAGATCAAAAGCAGTTTGTTTATGTAAGTTGCGTATTTGGAGCTCGAGCGACTCCTGCTCATTTTTTAGTGCAGCTAGTGCATCATCATAACTAGGGGAAATCATGTATTCCCCATTTTCAAGTTGATCTAGGTCGACAGAGGTTTCAACAAGAGAAATGAACTTGTTCAAATGATCGTCGTCAGTCAAGAGCTCAAAAGGATCCAAATATCTTTCCTTGATCAAGGACGAAAACTGTCCATCATATTTTTCCAGGGCACTTTTAATGTAGGGAATTCTTATACTTGACTGCATCCAGAAACATGAAACAAGGTTAAAATGGATGAAGTTGCAAATAAAAGATAAAAAGATACACCTACATACTGGTGTAACTCTAGTTTATGACTCTGCACACATACAAGTAAGAACAAAGAAAATGATGTAAGTTCTCCTCTAAAGTACTGCATGAAAAAATTCTAAAATTAGTGCCACAAATGAACATAAGAAGTTAAGTTACAGGTCATAAACCTTTACCAAATCATAAGGTGTGGAGAACACTAAAAATTATTTCACGAAACATATATCAGCAAGATCTTAGTGATTTTGCTCCTGTTTCTTTAACGAAAGAGAGAAGAGACACAACATAGAAGGATGAAGATTGATGGAGAACATCAGCAACAATATTAGGATTTTAACGCACCTGATAAAGTTTTACAACATGCTGCAAACCAGCTCTTGTCTTTTCAATGTTGCGCATAAGTCGCTCAATATCTGAAATTCTTTTCAGATGCTGCCTCAAAGCTTGGCGAAGCTCAGTATCCTCCACAAAAGCTTGTACCAAATCTAGCCTTGAGTTTATCTCACTTACATCTAACAAAGGCTGTTTTAGCCACATATGAAGCAACCGCTTACCCATCCCAGCGGTACAGGTTCTATTCATAAGACCAAACAAACTAAAATTTTTGTTTGCATCAGTTCTGCTTTCTAGGACATTCAATGCCCTCATAGCAGCAGAATCTAATCTCATGTAGCTGCCAAGATTGTATCTCCGGATGCTATAATTTCCATAATTGCCTTCATCTGCCAGTAGTTCTGCATAAGATAGTAAGGCTCCTAAAGCAGCAGGTGCAAATTCAAATCCAGAAACCAAGTCTCGAACTGGTTCAATGGAACCTTTGATTAGTCTGCCAAGATCCTGAACCAGATCCCTTGCTTTAAACTCAGTTTTCTTTCTCTCAGTTACCATAACACCGCATCTGGTCAAAGCATCATTGAGAGTTCTACATTCACTGGATTTGCCACTCTCTATGGGCAAAAGGCATTCCTTGCAACCGAGAGCAACCAAAGCTGACTCCGTATTTGTAAAGTGACTATCATCAAGAAATTCAGCCAATCCAAGTACCCTCTTCGTTAAATCAACATAACTGAACCCAATAGTGCACCCATTTTCGCGGAAGTTAGGAAGCAATGCAACAACAACAGGTGTGTCCTGCATCTCATTGTTGGCAAACAGAACATCCTCAAAACTGCCCAGATTCCCAGGACTGCCACTTTTCACCAACCTCCAATTGGAGCCACTACCTTCATAGAGCTCCAGAGTGTGGTCTGTTCTCTCCAGGAGAAGATCACGAGCAATTGTTTCAAACATGTTTTTACTAACAGTTACACTTGAAAGGCCATCAGAGCCACTACCCAGTTGCCGGAGAGCAGTAGTAGTGCGGTAATATGTCTTTGCAATAAAGGTTGCATTTTCACCATGAGCAGTATAATAATCCTGTATATTTACCAAAAGATTGTTTGGGAAAATGGTGAAAGAAAGGAAAAAAAGTTTAAATAAAAGATTGTTTGGGAAAATGGTGCAAGAAAGGAAAAAAGTTTAAATATAGCATTCCAAACAGAATGATTTTATAAAAGTTTCATAACCATACATATATAAGAATGCCTGAATGTCTAGTTCGCTCGCATATTTTCACAGGAACGATTGCAAATTTTCACATTCTAACTGACATGAAAGTTGAAAATAATAGACGAGCAGAATGGAAATGTACATATAAAATCAAAGAAACAAGTATGTTCAGGAATAGAGCATTGGAAATAGCAACTTACTTTAGCATAACATAAATGACTTTGAAAAACATTTCCCAACAATCAATCCTGCTGGGTTCATCTCTCAAAATTGTTATCTTCTTTTTTCCAAATTTCAGATAATATATATTATACAAAAGAAGATACAAAAACTTATATAAAGTAATAGTTATACGCACACCATATTTCTTATAAAACATCTCTAGGAGTTGCATTCTATTTCCTTCTATAAACAAAAAAAAAATAGAAAGTTTGATTTCAAAGACAACACAACTGGCATTTCTTAATAATGGGGGCAAAACAAGCACCCATTATACAAAAGAGAGCCTTTAAAAGTTACAATCATAATTGAAGTGAAGACAGCATGACAATTTACAATCAATAAAGATAATAACAAGCAATAGATTCCAAAAGCCTGAACTAACCCGGCGATCAAAAAACCGAACTGCCCTTGCATCCTGTAAAGAAAGAGGCCAAATAATTTGAAAAAAAAAGAAGTAAAAATCAACTTCAATTTTACAAACTCTTTTAATGTAGCATTCCCCCTTTCCTCCCTCTTTTTTTTTTTGTTTCATTATATAATTATCCAATAAACATTACCAAAAAAAAAACCCAAAATTTCTACCTTAAATTCCGAAAAGAAATGAGAGAAATACAGAAAAGAGGGCTTACATTGGGTAGGGTTTTGAAGAATGAGAGAAACCCTTGAGCCTGCTTTGCATCTTTTAACAATTACCCAAACAAAAACAAAGGTAAACAAACAAATTTCATTATCAATCACCCAAAAAGAATCAAACCATTTTCTCTAAAGAAAAATAAAGAGGAGTGATTGGGGTACCTAGTTTGAGCTCTGGAAGCTTGTTTTGTTCATCAAAATTTCCATCCATTTCTGAGACAACTCACAGTAAAAAAAGCCTCCCTTCACCTTCTAAGCCGAAAAAGAGAACTAAAACTGAAACCTTTTCGACTCTGTAGAAATAAAAAAACCCAAAATTAAGCGCTTTTTCCCTCCTTTTTCTCTATGGCGGGAAAGGATTTGGCGGGGTTTTAGGAAGGGAGCTCGTCTTCCCCACTCTCCCAGTACGCCTAAACTCTCTTGGGTTCAATTCGGGTCAAGCTGACCCGCCCTGATTTCCTTCTCTCTGGGCCCAATGTCCTATCCTGGACTGATATTAACTCAGTCTTAGGCCTAATAAGAGGTATACTGGGCCTCATATAACCCAAATAACCCTTTATTTGATTTGAAAAAGCACAAAACTTTTAAGAATTAATTATTAAATTGACTTGTAACAATATATTGAATAAATCCGTTTATGGAATTAAAAACTTTCACCATAAACTTATAAAATAATAAATTTTTTTATAAAAAAATACTAATTTAATATGTATTCATATTAAAACTTAAATATAAATACAAAGATGTATCTTCTCGATACAAAATACAATCATTTAATTCACAACAAAAACTAACTAAATATCCAGAACACCCACTTTACAGACTTTTGTAAGTTCATCTACTAAATCATTAGCATGGAGGCTAAAGTCATTGTTAGAGAAATCATTGGTGATATTTGCATATAAGAGATGAAGACAAACCCCAAAGTTGAAGAAAATGAAACTTCTTCTCCTTCTTCTTCTTCTTCTTTTTTCTTTTTTCCGACAAGTGGAATTGTATTAATTAAAGTCCACTTAACCATGAAAGCAACACAAGGTTTTGACAGATCTGCTCCAAGTCATCAGCAGCAGACTTCATCAAGATATTTTTTCCATGTCTATTGGGAGATTTCTAGATGAATGATTTTGTGCTGGTCTTTGTCATGTCCAAACTTAGACTTTTGTTGTGTGTTGTGTCTTTCCTGCTAAAGGTTGGGAATGTTTGGTGGTATATTTTCTTTACATCCAAACATTCAATGTTCGATCTTGGTAATATATATTTGAAAAGTATATTTGTATATTGATTACAGGAAAGATTACATAACTATTAAACCGAGTCCATTATAGACCTAGACTCGGATTGATATTACAACTTTTCTTCCTAAAAACAGCAAGAATCCACTTTAAAAAAATAAAAACAAGTCGTAGATTGTGCATTTGTCTAATCATGCATGCACACGGCATGAGATTGAAGAAAAGATTATATAAATATCGAATTGAATCTAATGTTATATTCAAAATCAAGACTCGTATTGGTGTTACAACTTTCACTCTCGTAAAAAACATGAATTTATCTAAGGAAAATCTTGAAAACAACCCATAGGCTGCGTGTTTATCTAATCTCGCTCATATAGCATGAGATCCACCCACTCAAAAGAAATGGATTTGAATCTCTCATCCTTATATATCAATATAAAATAATAAAAGAATTTAAATCAATTAAATTAAGAAGAAAATTTTGCTAAAAAAAAAGGAAAAGAAATTTGCACAAATAAATACGACAAATAAACATTGCTAATGATACAAAAGATAAGAAAGTGGAGAATATAAAAGAATTGAAAAAGAAAGGAACAAAAGAAGAACACAGAAGAAAGGTTTGGGTTAATATATTCATATATATTCCCCATTATAAGCCACTCAATATTATAGATTTCAGACATGCATATTCTATTGATATATAGTTGGGAATATATTGTTAAATGATAAAATAGGAATTTATTTGCAAATTAATTAAATTTATTAATGTACATTCATGTAAAGATAATCAAGCTAATTTCAATGGAAGTAAATCAAGTACCTGAAATTTGGAATTTGTTTCTCTTTTCATGTAATATATATATATATGGCATTTTCAATGTTTCACTTAATTTCCATCAAATTCCCCCAACCGTAGGTCCTCTCTTTAAATATCCTTTTAAGATTTTCTCTGAAAGATACTCTCATTCATACACCAAATATATAATACGTCATTTGATGCATTTAATATTATTTATATTTTCAAAACAAAATAAAAAAAATTAAATTAGTTTATATACAGATGGTAAAATTTTCATAAACAGATTTATAAAGTTACGGTTGTTTCGATAATATTAGCATAGTTAATTATGAGTTGTATTAGACTTAATTATGTTATGAGCTGAGATAAAATTATAATGTCAAATTGCACATGTTAACAGACTCTAATGGACATTTACCCAATTATTATTTAATTTATATATATAAATATATAATTTTTTAAAAAATCAATAATAAAAATTCGTTTCTAGAGTTTTCAAATTTTATCATTAATATGTAAACTTTGTTTTTTTTATGAAATTTCTTGTGAAATTTTTACACTTTTTTTTTCCAATGGATGGAAATTGGAGATAAATAATTAATAGAATTTGAAATAAAAAAAAAAGGAAATTGGGCTCATGATTTCGTAAGAACAGTACCTGGAACTGCAACCAATGCACATCTAACCTTTCGTACTGAAAATCGTCTGAACCAACAAATCAAAAGTTCCTTTTGGTTTTTTAATTTAAAGAATCTATTGATGGAATCAGCACATTTTTCAGCATCAAATTGTTCTTAGATAACCTTCAATAATACCATATAGCCGTACCTTTCTGCAACTGCGGCATGGACTTTTATCTATTGGTTGTCCACAAGCGAATACTCCAGGATTGTTAATTTTCCTTTGTTGAGTTTTGTTTTGTTTAAATTAAAGTTTAATTATGAAAAATATTTGTTTCTCCAGAGTTAGGGAACTCAAATTTGTCTCTTTAAACCGCTAATTAAATGTAATTAATTACAACTTAAAGCTCGACAGTTAAATATCTCCCATTCTCATTTAAGAGGAACTAAATTTGACATATAAATACTATTTCAAATGTGCATTGATTTTTTGGGTACAATTTAGTTTTTATTTAAAATTTCACAATTAATTAAGAATCTCACAAATTTCACTTAATGAACTCCACTTAAGCCTTGGGTAGAAAGAATATTGCAAGATTAAAACCCAATGGTTCCCAAAAGAAAACATTTTTAGTCATTTTAATTGCTTTGAAATGCAAATATCATCCAAAAACTAATTTTAAATTTTAGCAACAAAACATTTAATTTATTAATAAGTGCATGTATCTCTTTACTTAAATATAGGTAAGTTCCACTCTATAATCCACTCTCTTTACTTAATAATATTATTAAAATGAATATCCACTTCTTAACCTAGTCTATGATATAGTCATATCATAGAGTTGGATATAACAATTAATGGTGCCAATTTTAGTACACCATGACATGAGCTAAGAGTTTAAACAAAACAGCTTAAGTCAGATGTCTAATTAATAAAAAAAATCTAACATATACTAATATATAAAAACGACACCCTTTTCTTAATCTTGTCTATGGATCATATTATAAAGTTGGATATGACAATGCCATCAACTTTGGCACAAAGGGAGCTAATTGTATTTAGCTCAAAGAAAACTAACCATCATTAAAGGACAAGCTACAGCATACGGTGGAATATATAATTAATATATTTAACACCACCATCAATTTTGATGAATAATCTTTTTTTTTATGAATATTATTTTATTTTAAAATTATCTCGTTAATTTTATGGTATCTCAACACGATATAAAACAGCGTAGAAAAAGACAAGAAAAAGGAAAAAATCCTCTTTCCTTTTGGCAAGACCATAACGACCAAATGCTTAAACATTGTGTTATCTATTTCAATAGGAAAAAAAGAAAACCAATGTCGTTTTAGGGTGTTGCAATAGTTAAAACGACATCTCCATTGGTGCATGTGTGAGAATACTTTGGTAAGAATGAATACATATATATATATATATGATGAGTCCATGGCGGCATCGGCTTTGGACATCGTAGGAAGCATCGAATCATGCGTTGGGCCCTCTTAAAAGAAAATTAGCAGCAACAAAAATAGTTACAATGCCATGAAAACAACTTTATGGGCAATCTAATCAAATTGTGACAGAAAGATGTTATAATGCAGCTGATAAACCTATCTGATTCCTTTTCATTTTAGACAAAGGGAGACAGGCACCTTTCTTGATATGGCCCAAGGTGGGCACAATTCACTTGTATCAGAACCACTTCAATAATGGAGATAACATGAATGATAAAAAGAAAGAGAAAAGGAAACTCAGCAGTTAGAATCAAACAAGTTCATATATGTTAAGTCATATTATCCTGTTTGCACAACTTAGGAGTTGGATCTCTTATGTTATTTTTCTGTCCACTACTTGTCTATGTTCGTATATGTAGGACTTAATAATGAATTATAGGATAATTATACGTATATTATAAAGTAATAGACAGAAAGAAGATTACACAGACCTGCATGGACAACCTAGACATGGTATGATATTGCCACAAAAAACATTACATGGAGTACTGTGTTTGTTTTGATTGGTGTGGTCTGGCCCCTTCTGTTTAATTAGATCAAATTGATGGAAAAAAGGGAGGATGGTTTCTTCCTTTTTTTTTTGGTTTGTTGGTTGGGGCCGGTGACCTTTCCAGGTGGGGAACCCTAACCCTTTTCCGGTGTGACTAGCTGACTCTGTAAAGCCATATATCATATGTGATTAGGTCCACAGCATTGCTGTTCCTTCAAACCATGCCCAGTTGGAAATCATAAACAAAGAAGATATTTTTGATGAACACCATAAAGACAAAAAGCGCAGTATATAAACTTTCTTTCCCATCACAGCCATATTGCAACACTAGCATTTGCAATGGAAGGAAAAACTAACTACTAATTATAACTTCCAAATAAACTCTATTAATTAATGTTATTTTTTCCTAAAATATATATTCAAAAAACCTAACTGTTGTGTTGATTATTTTTTTGGGGTAAAAAAAAGAGTGAATATGTGAGTTGCGTGATGTTTTTGTTTATGTTTTCGGATATGTTCTATGATGTTATTGTCTTTGTATTGTAG